CTACAAATACGCAGCACGAGAATTACTTATTATATATACATTTGATTTATTATTATGAGTATCTATACAACATTAGATGTATTACGATGTGTTGATCGTACACTCACGGTTGATCTAAGATGGTCTTGTTCAGAAATTCCATCTTCCCTAGATGTTTCTTCTGAATTATATACAGGATTTGATACACACTGTCTTTCAGCTTCTTTAGCTTCTACGGTCCATTCGCTTATTTCACTTGTATACATTTTTCTCTGTAGAACTTCTCGTGTTCGAGGACGTGATCCAGTAAATACAGTAGTTCCCTGTGAAACATTTACATAATCATAATATAATGAAAAATGTGTTTGACATATTTGTGTAAACTTACGCCAACTATGAATGAAGGTCTTAATTTTTCCAGAAGTTGAAAATCTTCTATTATGCACTGCAATTCGTCCCATCTCAATTCCACTTCTTCATGAAGCATTCTTTCTTCTACAAACAAACATAAAATAGGGAAATATTAGAAAAATTTTAAGAAGTACAAATGATTTGGTTGAGGAAATAAGAAACAAATGTTAATAATTTACACTACAGTTTTGTAATAAAAAATATGAAAATGTAATCACCATCTCGTTTTGACGTTGATTTCTTATAATGTATTCTAAATCGAAATGCTTCCAAGAAACTGGATACTACAATTGTTAACACAATCATTGTCACTAGATAAAATGTCATAAAGTACATCCTTGTGTACATGCCCACAGTAAATGCATATGCATTCATTAATATAAACCAATTATTAACGACTGTTAATTCAAACAGAGTCATACCACTGGCTATGAGATTGTCAAATGTATTAAGATAATAGTATCCTAATGTAGTACTTTCATTAGCAGAATATTTGTAAAAATCTTCGACTGTTGTATTTCTGTTAAATAAATTTGTCATATGAATCGTAATTTAAAATATACAATATCAATTATAGAGAGATTTATGGTTATACATACTTGCAGCAATTTCGCATATTGTATCCAGCGAACAATTCCATTCCAATAATCGCGAAAAAATAATATAAAACAAGCATAACTACCGCGGTAGATGACATTAAAGGAGTTAAAATAACAAGGGTTCCGAATACATCTCGATATCTTTTTTTCATTTTAAATAAACGCAAAAGTCTAAGTGGTCTGAATAGAACAAAAAATGTTGATGATGGAGAAAGACGTATGATACACGCAGAAACAAGTGTCATTACAGATGTGCCTAAATCGAAAAGATTCCATCCAGAACTAAGATACCATTTTGTACCAAGGCCCAATACTTTTATTAACGCTTCGCTAACGAATACTATAATCAGAAAATACATTACAATTGTTGTAATATTATACAATACTTTTATAATTATTTGTTTCTACTTACTTCCTCCAAAAAGAAAAGTATCCCAAGACGCAGCAAATAAAATTGCACTGTGAAAACGATCGCTGGGTTGCAGTATCCTTATAATCATAGCAATACCATTTGCAACTATTGTTATATCTACAAAATTTCACAATCTTTACCGGGCATAACCGAGTATAAATTCATTTTGCATAAATTTTTCTATACTTACACATCAATGTTTCAAAATATGTCCATCTAATAGCAGTATGAGCTCCCATGCAGAGAATCTGCAATGGTCGCGAAGTACTGTGATACCAAGGCACAGTGGAGTATTGTGGCTCCCACTGAAGTTCTATCGTATCAAAAATATTCAAAAACTCTTCAGCACTTAATACCCCAGTTCCAGAAGTATTGAGATGTCGAAACATTAAAACAACATCTCTTATACCTATAACAAATATTTTTTGCATAACAAAAATTTCTAAAGATGACTTTCATATACTTGTACATGAACGTTTATATTATTCTAAATTTGCATGGAATTAAATATATACTTTTATTAGGAGCGTAGTATCGCATTAGTCCTTCAAATTGACGAAATCGCATTTTATCTGCATTTTGTTTTAAGACTAATAACTTAAAGGCGTGTTGACATGCTTTTCTTTTATGTAGAAACAGCTTTTTAAATTTGTCACGTTCGGCTGCTGTAAATGTTTCGTTTACTACTGCCAACATCAAATTCATCATTACGTATAACATAGTGGATAAGTAAGACACAAAATATATTGCGTACCACTTATTTTTTGAATATGATGGCATCATTACATCTGGAAAACTGAACAAGGAAATCGTTATTAAAATATAAACAGAATTCATGAGTATCGTTGTATATATTTTTATTACTTACTTAGCCGTGGTAAGAAGAACAAAAAGGCTTACAAAACTATCTTGCAATGTAGAAAAATTTCTATTCATTTCAGAGAACATGTAATATCCTAATATTGTGTAAAGTGTAATAAAAAATAAAAGCAGGCCTAACATATCCAGAATTGGAGGCAATGTCAAAAGTATTTGCCTTATAAATCTTCTTACACCTCCAAAACATTTGGTATCTACTAAAAAGATAGGTCTTAGAGCACGTGTCACTCGAAAATGTGATGACTGCCGCACTAAAACTGTCATTGCTTCTAAAAACATGATGGCCAATGTGGCGCACTGTAACAAAAATTTATTTACATAATTTTTGTACAGCATATAACGATAGCGTGCAAATTTATGGATATTACATACTTTTATAAAAAAATAGATCAAAATTAAAATTAAAAATAGAGCTTAATGCATTGATGAATATTGGATAATTACTATTTTTATTCAAGATTATATATCGCATGTACAACATATCATTATTGTTTAATACTTTCACATTGTTGCGTAAGAAATATGAGTATGAATAAGTGCATTATAAGGAATAATGAATCGCTAACAGAGCTATCATTGACACAACACACATGATGTTGATTAATAACGAAATAAGTATTCTTATTAAGACATGTCCTGATAGTAATATTATCATAAACAACATCTGTTCAAAATTATATTAACTTTATGACTGAATTATCAATTCTATTTTATTAAAAACGTAAGCTGAAACAGTCTACAGTTATGAGGTTGCTTATCTTCTCATTAATACAATCATATTCTTTTGTGTAAGTGCTATGGAAAACCACTGTATTACTATGTGTAAGTTTCAGATATATTGACAAAGAAGTCTAGAATTCAGTTGCATAATTAAACTATGTGAGAGCACAAAACTGTTACAATAATAAAGATTTTGTGAAAGTACAAGCTTATATTACACAAATTATAAAATTTATATTAATAGATTGATTTTCTTACCTTCAGCATTGTCCTTTTGTGTTTTAACATAGTCGATAAGCCAATCCATCTTAATTTTAAAACTAATTCTATGCCTATAATGATTAGAGCTAAAAGTTCTATTGACCCATGTGCCCATACTGGTATCTAAACAAAAAAAATATATATATATACATATATACAGAAATAACTACAGAAATAACGTAACAAGAGGAAGCTGTTTTCCCATGAATAACTTACACCAAACAGTGGTACAGCTGGCTCCTCCACAAGAGCCAAAGCTAAAAGTATAAGAGAAGTCAACAAGTCTAATCCATAATACCAATTATTATGAACTAACAGATATGCTGGTAAATCTTCTGGATGTTTCGGATGAGACTCAAATTTTTCATTGTTTCTACCTTCCTATAAAAATAATTTCAGTAAAATACTTATTTTATACCTTATATTATTAAAGAAATGTGACAAGGACAATTACCTCTAAAAATATTGCAGCTTTATGGTAGTTCATTTCCCAGTACAGATCATGATCTAAAAGAGAATTATGCAATGGAAGCACTGCATTATCAGTCATGTTTTCCCTTTCAGTTTCATACGTTTCAAATTTTTGGGGGAATTCGTTGGTTTGATTATTTTCAATGGATGGATTTATGTAGTTGTCTGGAGAAGAACATGAAAGCATAGATCCATATTCTAAAATATGATAAAGAATAAAATATATATAAGAAAAAAAATTGTGCTCAACATAGAATAGTACGCAGATTTTTAATCAAATTAAATGCATGCATTATATATATGAAATACAATAATATTTTAAATAAAACTTTTTAATGTTATTATGTGTAATTGTAAATATTGAGAACAAAAATGAAAAATTGCACATTAATTATAAAATAACAATTAGTATGTAATTTAGCAATGATTAGAAAATAAGCCATCTAAGGAAGAATAATCATAGGTTTGTCAAAACGCTCGACTTTCACTACGAATTGTTCGTAAACGCAAGAATGAATTTATACAATATTATTATAATTGATTCGACTTACTTTGAGATGATCGATGCGATGTGTCTTGTTCGTGTGATACATTTCCATCATCGTTAAAACGTTGATAATTGCCCGAGTATTCGGTATTTTTAGGAGAAGACATTTGAGGATGGTATGTCACACGTATTCAATAGACAACACATTTGTTAATAAATACCTAAATATTTACATTAGCCTGTCTAGATGTATACGGTAGCGTAACTGGACAGAAACTAAAGCTTGACTAGATTAAATTTAAAAAAAATATACGAAGATACGTGCACATCCTTATGTGACAGATATTACATATTTCAATGTCCTAATATAAGTACCTACTATATAAGTGATGTTATTCGATTCTCTTACAAGTATTTGACGTTCCATGTCGTGATACGCATGCGTATTCTTGCAGACGACATGTATCCAATCATCGAATTCAATTTCATTTATCAAACACTCCAAATAACTAAACCAAATTACTTTTATTCGAAATTCCAACTATCAGCTTTTATCGTTTATAAACACCACAATTTTGCATTTTATGCAAAACAATAAACTTTCATTTAATCTCGGTAGTATCAGAAATATATTTGTATACATTATAAATAATATTAATTGACTTACTGTGAGATCTCAGCAGAATTAAATATAACAAGAAATTGTATGTTTATAACAAAATTATATGTTAAAAATGATTGGGAAGGATCATTGATAAGGTATTAAACAAAATTGCATTCATTGTTTCTGTATTTATTATATATTTATATTGAAATCACAGAAAATTAGAATTTTAATCTGTGTGGGTATTGACTGCTTCTTAAGCCAAACATCGCCGACAGATAAGTGAATAACATTTTTTTCTCCTTGTGCTTCTTGATTGCAGAAATCACAAATTTATCAACCACTTTCTGATCGGCTTTCCTCTGGTCGCTTGCTTTGTATTCGTCTTTCTTCTTGGTAAATATATCACCTTCTTCCTTCTTCGCACGTTTTTCACGTTTCCTCTTGAAATAATCGTCGTTTATGTGAGCCGGAAGTTTCAAATGAGAGATGTTAAGACGCGCAGAGGTAGCAATAACATAGTTTTGACTAACTCTTCTGAGTGGACAACTATTGATCAAGAAAGGACCTGTATCGATAAACATTTCTATTTAGCTTCGAATTTCTATGATTAGTCGTACAATAAGTTTACGCAACTCACCGGTAACTAAAAGTAAACCACTCTTAAGTTGCTTTAAGAATACAACTCTTTTTCCTTTATGAGCTCCAGCAAGTAGAATGCAAATAGTTCCAGGTTTCAATGAGGGTCTCAAATAACGATTGTGATCACGGAAACATTTCTTAGCATGATGTACAGTTACTGGATCAGCAGTGGGATAATTAGCACGCCTTTTTTTTAATAATACAATACGTTTCTCTCCATTTTTGTCACCACTGATTTTCTTTTCAATGGTTACAGGTTTCTTAGGTTTCACCTATCGCAAAACATTCATATGTATTTATAGATATGTAAGTAAAACATGTACGAATATGAACAATATTAAATGACATATATAATATGTAACATACCGTTTTTGGAGTTTTCTTGTCAATAAATTTGTAAATGGCTTTCTTGTGAAACATGCGGGTACGACTGAATCTATAAACTCCATTTCCCAAATCATAATTTCTTGGCCTAATTCGACCCTTTTTTCCATCTTTTTTGTCCGAAGAAGCTTTTGCCTTCTCCGGAGAATTTACTTTTGTATCCTTTGCCTTTTTAGTGTCAGTCATCTGTAAATATAAACTACATCAAGTAAAATGCAACTACATATAAATAGAAGAATAATTATACATTTAATTGTGATACAAATAATAACTACTTTTCAAAATAAATTCGTAATCATATAATTACAAAAAACAATAGAATTGGGTATGAGAATAGTATACATCAGTCCTTAAAGTGTAAATTAGTTCTAACATCATATGTTCCATTGCATTTTCAGACTAAGCATGTTTACCATGTTCCATGAAGGTTATGACACGTTTTCATAAACTTCAATGTTACATTATAAAGAACACTTGTACAAAACTAGATTAGATTTAATACGATATTATTATGATTAAAAATTAAGAAAATGTAGTGAGAAATTATAAGAAAACTAAAATGTCTAACTTTAACCTCTTGAAAATTTGGATTTTTGAGATTAAAATGAATTATTGTATTAATTAAAAAAATATAGTGTTATTCTTAAAGAAAGTTTCTGATATATATAAAATTTAACAAAATATATAGTTTTCCCTTTATTAAAGCAAGAGATTACTTGGATAATATTAGATTGGCATATCTCATTCCACCTTACCGTAAACCGTGCGGTTGAAAGAGTCTGACAGATTGTGTTACACGCGATTGCGCACAATGAACGCGTAAAAAGTACTAGTCGACAACCAATGGAAATGATAAAGACATGAGCCAATCAGTGCAACAAAAGTCATGCGTTCTGTGAGCGTGTGATATTATAAACTTTTCGTTCTCAAACATGGCGATTGTTCTCTGCAGTTATAATAACTGCATAGAAATAATAATAATAATAATAATAATAATAATAATAATATCATTTTTGACTATCTAAGTATGAACTGCTAGTTACTAACTAGTTTATACGCAACACCAAGTGCAATTGCGTTGACTTCGATCTCATTCGTAACATTACTCTGAAAGAAAAGGCGAAAAATACTAATCAAAGCAAGATTGTAGTGTTATAAAACAAAGAATCGTATTAATTATACATTTATGAAAAATAAAGAATAATTATCGAATGTTGCCACAAGTATCGACTCGATTAGTGGCGGCATCGGTGGTAAAATGCCCAAGTTTGTAGTGAGAATAGTTCCAACCTTTACAGTAAGATGGCGTGTAAAAATCCTAAACGAGATCGTCCTTCTATGATGGTCGTTTCCCATTTGCGAGCGTACCTATATATACGTACATAGGATACCAACAGTGAAATAAATAAATATCTAACCGAGTGCTTAACAATTTTGAAAATTAGTATGAAAAGTATAAAAAAGTAAGCCTCGGGATTAGTAAATGTAAAAGTCGTATTATTGTAAAAGATCCACCATAGATATTTACTGTTTGAACAAGTAAATGATTTTGTGCAAGCAAATAATATATCAAGGTTATACATTTTATTTGGTTATATTAGATAAAACGGTTAAATTTACGAGTATGTAACTATGATTTTCATTGTTTTCTATATTAACTTCTTCTACTATTCAAATTCTCTGTCTTCTTTTCATTGTAAATAAAGACTGATATACCTGGTTAAGTATATATACCTAGATTACGTTAAAATGTGTAATATGAACGAATTCGTTTACACGTTTACGTTTGTAAAAGTTAATTATCGGTATTTGTCAAGTCTCAAATAAGTATTATGTGAAATTGTGGTTAGTGAAGTCAACATTTCTGTGCTTTAACCTATCATTATATTTGAAAGAACTTCGAAATGAGTTCGAAAACTGTGTGCATTACTCAAGAAGGTCCGGCAAACGCATTAGCACTGAACAAAGACAATAGTCAAGTTGTTATAGCAGGACGTAATGGTAAGTTATTTAATGGTTATGTTATATTGATCTTTCGAATAATTAGTATTTTCTATTACTTTTACGTTTACTTTGTGCTTGTTGTGGCAGGTGAAATAATTTACCTTAAATAGAACGATAATCTTATGTTTCAGTTTTTAAAATATTCACATTATTAGAAGATAGATTCGAGGAAGCTTGTAACCTTCGCGTCGGGAAAAATTTAAATCTAAATTTTTCTTGTAACGACGTCGCCTGGAATCTAATCGATGGTGAGTGTTATCGTATGGTACTTGTTACATTTATCGATGTTTACTTGCTTTATATTACTTATATAAATATTTTTTTCAAATGTTATACAAAAGTCGTAGGAAATTTGATATCATTTTTTCATAAGGTTTATCTTCCGTCTAAATAAATGACTTTCCAATCTATAGTAATTAAGAGAATATAGTTTATGTGTAAATTTGTAAAACAATAGTTTTACATTATATTATATTATCATATATAACATTACATTATATATTATCGTTTAGACCATATATTAGCAACTGCTGCTACGAATGGAGCAGTAGTGGTGTGGAATTTAAACAGATTGTCGAGGTCTAAGCAGGAACATGTTTTTATCGATCATACAAGAACTGTAAATAAAGTAAGTTTCCATATGACAGAACCTATGTGGTTAATATCTGGTTCTCAAGATGGCACTATGAAATGTTTTGATTTAAGAATTAAAGAAGCTACTAGAACTTTTTATAGGTAAATAGTTTAAATTGTACGACAGTTTTAACATTAAAAAGTTGTTGAACAAAAAGCGATAGGAAACACCTTCTATTTTAGTAATACAGAATCTGTACGCGACGTACAATTTTGTCCTCATTCGCCGCATACTTTTGCTGCTGTTTCTGAGAATGGACATGTTCAACAATGGGATTTACGGAAACCGGACCGTTATTTTCAACATTTTACTGCTCATAGCGGTCCTATATTTGCTTGCGATTGGCATCCTGAATCCACCTGGCTCGCAACTGCTTCCAGGGATAAGACCATTAAGGTGCTTTTCTAACATTTCCATATACGAATGTATCGTTAAAGAAAGGTTTTCGTAAATATCCGTTCAACGAATTAAAATATTTTGTTCCGACGCTTTCTACTTAGGTTTGGGACTTGTTAGGTAAGCCCAGTTGCGATTACGTTATACATACGATAGCATCGGTAGGTCGTATAAAGTGGAGACCACAGAGGAAATATCATATATCGAGTTGTGCCCTAGTCGTGGATTGTAGTATAAACGTATGGGATATTCGTAGGCCGTACATTCCTTTCGCAAGTTTTAATGAGCATAAAGATGTTCCGACTGGTGTAGCATGGAGAGGCAATCCACAGTCTTTCTTATCGACTAGCAGAGTAATATCGTATAGATGATCTCCTCTAATATTTGCTATACAGTATCAAGAAACATTAATAAATGATTGTTGATGCAGGATTGTACTTTATACCATCATGTGTTTAATGATGCTACTAGACCGGCGAGTAAGGCGAATCCGCAAGGTATCGCATTAAATCCTAAAGGAGATATCGCGTACGCTTGCAAAGTAAACGTTCACGTTACAACTACAATGAAACAGTTGACTAATATAATGAGGTTAATAAATAATTAATAAACATGCTATACATAAATATACGTAATATATCGTACATAGAGGCACTTTTGAAAAAGTTTCTTAAATGAAAACAGCAAATGTTAGTTAAGATTTACTTGTAGGAAAACAGCTGCAACAAACGATACATTTTGCATGGTATCTAGCATAATGCATAGATTTGCCATAAATGTGCCACGGGAACCAAAATGGTTTAAAGCATGCGCGGAAGGTTACTTGCTTTCTGGAAGATTAAATGACATTTGCGACCATAATGCTGTCGTTGCTAGAAATGCTGGTAGAAATGATGTAAGTAATGACTCGACTCGACCCGACTCGACTCTACTCGACTGTAAATCTATATTTAGGGTAATACAGCTGTTGGTTTGAATCAGATCAGTACCGTATGGAGTATCATAAAAACATTATATGCTAATCCTATGGGATCTATTTTAAAAACACCTCCAACTGCTTCCAAAGAAGACATAGTAAATACGTTGAATTTAGCACAGATTACGATAGGATCATCTAGTGTAGATCAATCAAACGCAGGCGCAGGTACAATTACAGTCTTTGATATCGGTAATATTTCACATCTGACTTTCACTCGAGTTTTCTGCAAGCAATGTTCTAATTTTTCAATGATTTGCTGATGACACAATGTTGTTCAAGTACACGAGAACGATGTAAAATCTGTACAAGGAGAAGTAACAGGTGCGATTAGCGGCGGCGATGACGAGACCGAAACCGATGAAACGCCGGAAAATCAACACTCGATAGGGTCTATATTACCTAGGTAGCATCGAAAATTACTTAACGCTCGAAAATGTTACAATATCGACCACACATGCTGGATTATTAATAATTATCGCTTTCGCATTATGAAAATGTACAGCTACAAACGGGCATTTATCGATCACAAGGGACCATCTAAAGGAGATTTTTTATTTGGAGAAAGCGAGTTTGAATCAATGACAATGGAATATACACCGAGTTATATACAGAATATGATGACTAACGATAACGATTGGACGTTATCCAAAGAGGCTTTTCCTTTGCGACACGAGATTAAAGACAGATCTCCGCCACCTGAACAGTTTCCAAATCATCCTCCAGATATTAACGAAGATTGTGCTTCGTTAATGATCGAGGATCAACCTAGTCAATTGATAGTTTCAAACATACCTAAACCACAATTCTGGGATCCCACGAGTTTAATCGAAGAAGCTTTAAAACATCATGCGGCTCTTAGAGATATACAAACTTCTGCGACGATTCTTATCGCATTAGGAGAAAAACGGAAAAACTTGAACATTGAAACCGCTGTTCAAGAACATTGGATATTAGAGTATTTAGATATGCTCGCGCGATTTAAACTGTGGAACGTGGCTACGCAGGTCAGCGATGAAATTCGAACAATATCAAATATACGTCCTTTAATCGTAAAACGGCGGGCGCCGGGCGCCGGGTGCCGGTCGTTCAGTTTGCTATTTCATTTCGAAATACATATACATGTATGTAGTAAAGCGGTAATTGGAAATGTGAAAACTGTTTTTCGCTAAAATAATCCATTCTTTTAATGGATTATCTGGGTTAGGTCTGGCGCCCGACTTTCCTACGAGCATCGCGGCCCGTTTTCGATGTTGGTTACATCCGTTAACCAACAAGCAGAATGGTATGTAACGTTATACGTCCACAGATCATCCAATCGGTTTGGATACCGTCCGTATCGCAATTAAATCAACAATCAACGGTAATACACGCGTGTTGTTTAGCGTGCACAAAACCGCTACAAAGGGCAGCATGGTTGTGCGATCGATGTCATTCGTCTCATCACGCGCTTTGTTCCGTTTGTCATCAAGTGAGATATTTGACAATCTTTATTCAGACAATTGTTTTCGCAATTATTAGATTTAACGTGAAACGTACGTAATATTTTACGTTTGGTTGCAGGTTGTTCGAGGAATATACGCATGGTGTCAGGGATGTACGCATGGAGGTCACGTTGTTCATATGAACGAATGGTTTAGTTGTAACCGACAGTGTCCAACTGGTTGCGGTCATATGTGTGAATATATTTAAACATTTACGATCAGGATTTCTTCGACACTATCAAGTAAGTTTTCAATAGATGTACGTTACATGTATATTATTATATTACGGAGTAGATTATTTCCGAAAAATTCGAAAGAAATCAAATGCTTTACTAATTTATACGTTATTTATTTATACAAGAATCTCGATACTGTTCGCTGTAGACATCGCATCGCTTTCATACCGCATTTAAACATTCGTTTATTTCAATATCAACAAACACTGGTACAAAAATACTAAATACTAAATGGTATATTCGACGAAATAGGTAAAGTGTGCGTAAATTATAGAAATGTTTATTTCAATTATGGTTTATACTGTTAAAAAATGTTTAAAAAAATATGAAAAATGAAAAATAAAAAATAAGAAATAGTAATTGTACAATGCCGGGTAAAATGCGCGAGTTGGAGAAGATTACCTCAACTATTTTTTTGGTTAACTTTAACTATTACACTCTTCACTTCCGTGTACGCCTCGAGGCCATATTTGCCCTGTTCCCTTCCGTGTCCTGACATTTTATAACCGCCGAATGGTACTTGTGGCGCCAGTGCGTTGTACGTATTAACCCTGGCAAATGTATCGCAAAATGTTTGAAAAAGTAGCGTATAGGAGAATACATGAAATTTATTCGATTGCGAATAATTTCGCGTATAACGTACCAAACGGTGCCTGCTCGGAGTCCTTGAACAATGTAATTCGCCTTGTCAATGTCCTTTGTGAAAACTGCTGCTGCCAATCCATAATCGGTGGCGTTTGCTCGGTTTATTACTTCGTTTAAGCTGCTGAACTTGAGAATTTGTTGAACCGGTCCAAAGATCTGTCAAAAATAAAGTTAACAATACGATTATATCGTATCTAACAACAAATGGGACAAGTTTAAACTATTCGTTTGCGTATTTACCTCTTCTTTGGCAATGGTCATATCGTCCTTAACGTTGGCGAACACAGTAGGTGCGATAAAGTAGCCCTTGTCACCGACGCGCGTACCACCTGCAACTAGCTGGGCTCCCTGTTCTTTGCCCGACTTGATCATACACAGAATCTTATCCGATTGTTCCTGATCGATCTGTTGGAAGCAGATACGAGTGCGAGTAAGTATCTATTCGCCGGTATACTTGTTATTTTATTTCACACAATAATAACAATTGGCTCTGTTTTTCTAACGTAATAGATTTTACCTGTGGACCTTGCTCGACGTTCGAATCAAACGGATCACCGACAACTCGAGACTTGGCGCGTGCGGCACTTTTCTCGACAAATTCATCGTAAATACTGTCCTCGACGAAAGTTCTGGATCCAGCGCAGCAGCATTGACCCTAACATACAAGGTTCGTATTCGTCGAGTGGCGAACGATAACTTGTAATATTAAACGAAGAAAAATATTGCATTACGTTACCATGTTGAAAAATAAACCGAAATGAGCTGTTTCGACAGCGTGATCGAGATCGGAATCCTTGAAAATTATGTTGGGCGATTTTCCACCCAGTTCAAGCGTGGTCCTTTTCAAGTTGCTCGTAGCCGCGCCCTGTTTTATTAGTTGTCCAACTTGGGTTGAACCGGTAAAAGCAATTTTGTCAACCTTATCGTGAGCGACTAGGGCTGCTCCAGCTTTACCGAAACCAGGAACAACATTAACTACTCCGCTAGGAAATCCAGCTTCCTTAGTTAATTGAGCCATGTATAAAGCCGTTAACGGTGTCTGTTCTGCGGGCTTTAGAACGATAACGTTTCCTGTAAGAGAGATGAAACAAAACAAAACAGTAATACGATTACACGTTTACACGCATTTATTAGCATATACATGTACATGTACATGTATATGTATATGTGTATGTAAATTTAACGAACGAGACGCGTTTGTCGCGTTGTGTCGTCGTACCCGTAGCTAAAGCAGGTCCCAATTTCCAGGCCGCCATTAAAAGGGGGAAATTCCACGGGATAATTTGTCCACAAACGCCAACTGGTTCGTGGCGTGTGTAAGCCAAGTATTGTCCGTCCATCGGAATTACTTGACCATGATTTTTATCTGCCCATCCAGCGTAATATCTCAGGGACGCTATGCTTGCTGGTACATCGAACCCGTACGCCACGGAATAAGGTTTACCATTGTCCAACGTTTCCAACGACTAAAGTACAGCAGATTTTTCACCGATAAGACTGACACTCGACTCGTTCGACTTCGACTATTATACAATTAGGTAAAATGAACGAAAAAGAGATTGGCGTGTATTCTCACCGCGAGATAAGTACGATCGCGTTCCATTAAATCGGCCAATCTATTCAACAATACACCGCGATAAGAAGCATTCATGGTTCTCCATGTCGAACCCAATCTAAACGCTTTGTTGGCCGCTTCCACGGCTATATCGATGTCCGCGGAATCACCTTCCTGTACGTCGGCAATCGTTTCTCCGGTGGCAGGGTTCAGAGTGGGAAACGTTTTCCCTGATTTGGAACGGTGCCATTCGTTGTCGATGAAAATCTGAAAGAAATCTCGTTGAAAACATTGTTACGACCACTCGTATCTACGCTATTCAAGTGGCTAGTTTGTTTGACAAACTATTACGCCAATTTCATATCGGATTCGTTTTTTAGATAATTTTGCGATAACTGTTACATAAAAATAAGCAATAAACTTGTTTTTCTATGATCAAAATAAGAGAAGACGACGAATGACAGTCATCTTTATTTTTGCACCATATACATAGATAAGATAAGGAGCTCGTTGCGTTATATGAATTGCTACATATATTAATATTGGGATCGTCATTTGTTTTACTTTTTCCTTTCTTGTATTATCATCAAGCACGACATTATCTTGACGATAATGGATAGATTCGAAAATTGTTGAGAGGAACTTATTCTGAAATTCGAGAGATAACTACGTTTCTCCGATGTTTCCATTGCAATCATCATCATTGAAATTCCGAGAAAAATGTAAATGTACTCCGTGTACGTAGAAATTGATCGAGATATGTTTAGCGAATAAGATTCTTTAACAATCTAAATCGATGTCACATGTTTCGCATGTAATGCGATCGATAAACACGTGTTTCTCTGGCCAATTCCAAGGTGACTTTGTCCAACCACTCTTTGATTGATTTTCGTTTGTTCTTTATTCTTTTTGTATCGTTGATGTCGATGGTAATAGATGGTGGTAAAGATATTCTTCATTAATCGTTTGTACTTGTCGAATTGTATAACGAAACAAACACGTTACTTACCCCGGTATATAGAATCGATGGATTTGTTTCCGGTGCCGGGATGGTTGCAGTGGAAAAGCACCGCCGCGGCCGCGGCAATTCCAATGTCCTCAACAGTCGCAGCATACCGACTGTTTTTCTCGTAAATTTATTAATCTCGCTACGGACTGGGTTTCGATGAGTTCCTTCTACGCGTTCGCCGGTCGTAGCACTCGTAACAGTGATTTCGAATCTGCGAAACCGTTTTCATAAGTACACGCGTTCCTCCTGTGGTGGCCAGTGATGTATATAGTTGGGGTTACACCGTACTTGCTTTAGTATAAATGAAAATTTTAATACCGTCGAGGTTATATTTACTGGCGAAAACGCTACGCTATTGGTACACCGGCGTGGTTCTTGTTCGTCATTGGCTGCAAGAATTGCTTTCAGTTCCCTCACGGGTGCGCAATCTACCACACCTATACGTATACTACATGTATGTACTAGCAATGTATGGTCGGTAAGAAAGCATCGCGCACGCGCTGGCGCGTTTCTAAGTATTTTTGTTCGGTTTCGAAACAAACAACGACTACGACACTATAGCTGGAATTTGTTGTCGAATTTATTTATATTCGACCAGTATTCGAATAGTCGAATGTTGAAATGAATGTCGAAATAAATGTTGGGTCACGCGATTAAAACGATTTTGTAAGCACTCGAGGAATACGTGACTTTAGCTTACGATGCTGTACGTGTCCGCGCAAGCGGTAAGAATAACTGCGATGTACGGATACAGATTTACGTTACATACATGGCTACATATTACGGAGACAAAAAGCTGATTAACGGGTCTGACTGGTCACACGGAACGATTACGGAACGACGCTGAAGCCGACGTTCATGATCATACCATAAAATAGAAGAGTAACGATACAATAAAATATAGCAAGGTATACCAGATAAGCTGTTATCGATTAACTCTGCTCGCCAAGTTTTCATTTCACCGCGATAAATGACAAATAATTTTACTCGACGCGTACGATTGCCTTACCGATGAAATTTTCATGAAATCGAATACCTACTCGTTAATCGGAATCGAAAGGCATTTATATCGTTTAAGAATGTCACCGTTATCCTGTAAACATAGCAACGCGAAGAAATTTTAATTGCGAACAAAGTAAGTATCGTCGAGGACAGGGAGTAGAAAAGATGTTTGAAATTGCTCGATGCGTATCGGAAAAAACCAAACTCTTTCGTTTAAGGAGTCGAAGGTGATAAAACGAGTGCATCAACTTTATTAATAAAATTGAATATAATTGACCTGTTAGCATCGATTCTTACTTATTCGAAATGATAGAATGTTGTCAAAGTTTATTTGAAATTTTCGTACGTTACGAGTTTCGCAAACGAACGGTTGTATCCGTAACGCATAACAATGTACGTAGAACACGGTACAAAGATAAGTACGTATTCGTATTTCGTATTTCGTATTTCGTATTTCGTATTTCGTATTTCGTATTTCGTATTGCTTCAAAGGTACATAACGAAGGGAGTACAAGTGCCGCGAACAACGAAACAACGGAACAACGAACGCATCTTGTCTGTACGGAACGTAAAAAGCAGGTGTAATTCGTTTTACATAACAAATGCCTATTTTACCTGTAAACATGACATTTATTTCGAGAGTTATGTACAAGACTCGCGTTACCACGCAACAAAGATCCTGTATAACGAGCATTAGGCTCTCGGATTGTACGCTTTTCCGAACATCCGGACGCCTTTCCGACTCTCTATCTATCATAGGCTTCTCGATTTTTTCTCGGAAAGAACAACGGAAATCAACGAAACAAAAATTACAACGTTTTATCGATTTCGTTTACTAGGCATGCACATCACATCCAGAATTCGTCCGTAAACTCTTTACTTTGAAACATATTATTTTCTCGACGAAGGGACGCCGGCCATTTGTCGTAGAAAAATGGTTACAGTTTTAAGGAAAAGAATTACCTTAAAAATGGAACCGCGCACCATATGTTTCTCTTCTTACTCGCTTATCCGTTTTCCATAAACCGGTATCGCGAGCTGCTATATTATTACCGATATGCGTCCAATTACTAATTATCTCTATACACGGTATAGTTGCCGGAACAATTGTAACAATCAACTCGATTTCGTGAATTTTTGTTCGAGTAACCAGGATCTGTGCAGTGTTTACGTTACGAACGTTTCCTTATATTATTCGATATAAAAACTCGTTCTTCCGTTTCGTAACGATGCGTTTCGTCCCCTTTTCGATATTAACTATACATCAGACACATCCGAAAATGTGCCCGTCGTTTGCTAAAAGAAACACCGTGAAAACAAAAGTCGTACGAGACGTATCGCATACATCGGATTCATCTATTTAACAAAGAAAAGAATCGATCTAATTGTAACGCGGCAGGCGTATGTATGTATGTATGTATGTATGTATGTACGTAGGTAGGTAGTTAGCTAAGTTCGGTTCGGTTCGTCGATTTCAACGAAGAATAGAAATTATCGAGCTTTGTAGAAAGGGGGGCCGGCCGGCATCCTCGTCCAGGTTTTCGTCTTTTCTTTCGAATACGTATTAGGTTAAAAGTTCGCTTATATCAAAAACTGTTTATTCGAGATCTAGCGAGAGTATTACGCGGTACGTGGAAATGCGTCAGCCTCGTATACGTACATAGTTGGCTACGGTTCCGAACGACGCCGACGGGACAGGATGACTCGACGGTACGTTATTAAATTACGTAACGCATTGTACGAACGCGTTTATACGAACGCGAGACTATCTAATCGGTGTTCGGTTGCAACAACGATGGTTACGGTTACGGTTACGGTTACGATTACGGTTACGGTTACGGTTACGGTGACGTAACCGAAACTTTTTGGATACGAATTTTTACGTACGAATACGCTTAGGCGGTTGCGTTGCTAGACACAGTTTACAAACGAACAAACTTTACCAATTCGATAATCACGGTTCGAGAATAAGGAAACGATGATCCACATCGGACGGGCGATACATTTCTTTCGCGACAGATACTAGAAGCCCGTACCACCGATACCGCGCGTAATTCCAAACTACGTGTTGGAAGATCGTTAAAGATACTCGACGATGTCGCATTTGATGGATATATTTGGACAGCTGCGTACGCTGGCCCCGTAACCGCCTCTCGACGAGCTCTTGTGTCTCTCGGTGAGCAGCTTCTGAAAGATCGGAAGAATCGTTAGATCCAGCAACTCGCCGTCCGACACAGCACTGTACATCTTGGAGACGTTGATCGTTGAACCACCGACAACGTCCGAACTCGTGGCTACGGATCCAGCCACTCTGACGGCGTTTCTTGTTCCTGGTACGCCGATACCGATACCGATACCGATACCGATATCGATACCGACGTCGTTTCCTGTCCCGCCATTGCCACCGCCAACCCCACCGCCGCCACCGCCGCCACCGCCTCCACTACCGCCTCCTCCTCCTCCTCCTCCGCGTGGATTCGCACTTGCGAATTTGTTGTTGTGAATGGTAGCCACGTTCGGTGTGCTCTGCACGTACTCTAGTCGCGCCTGTTGTCGAAGCTTGGACTCTGTGTGCCTGCATTCTCGTATCCTTCGAGCGGCACGGTGAGGACACTCGGTCGTCGCGTTGTGCTCGCTCCTTAAACGTGGACACGTTTCTCGCGATCTCTCGGACACTGATCGTTGAATGATCGTCGAGACGGATTCGTCGCATTTCTCTGAAAAGCCAGCAACAAGAAGGAGGCATCGTTATCGAAACAGTGCTACCGATATTGTAAGAGTGGGAATGTGTGCGTGTGCGTGAGAGAGAGAAAGGGAGAGAGCCGTTAGCTATAGGATAGGTATAAGGATATTGTAACGTAGCTTTAGTTTAGTTTAATTTATGACCTGGCCACTTGGGCTGATGTTGTCCAGGCGCGCCTCGGCGAGGCCGCCTAGAACAACGTTCCCTTGCCTGGGAAAAACCCTGGGTAGAAAAAGAAGCGTTGGGGACAGATTTAGTTGAGCAGTACGAAGGGTAAAGACGTAGAGCGGATCGTTGAGCGGACTCTATTCATTTTAGTTTCGTTAATAGTTAAGTCAGTATTTTATAAACATAGTAACGTATAATAAATCCTACAATATACGTACATGTATTTGTACATCATGTAGAGCACTGGTACTTACCCGTGTCGGAGTAACTCGCGCTGACGACCGCGGGCACGCTCGGCGAGCTCGCGTTCTGCGAATCGTAGTGCTTCCGTTGTCTTCTCGGCGCGGGTGGTGTCTCGGCCGAACCGTTGTACGTCGCGCGAGAGTGTCCATGACCGGCGTGCTTTTCGCAACGGTAACCGGTTACGCCCAACAGCGCTCGTCTGTGCCCGCACTCGCCGATCACGTACGATTTGTCCAACGAGCCCAGAGACACTTCCATTCTCTCGGACTTTGATACGTTCTCGGTCGAAATGTAGCTGATCGAGTTGACCGGCACGCTCGTTCGTCGAGTTTGAAACAGCTCGTGATGAGAATGGGCCATTCCGTTGTTCTTCACGGACGATCTTCTCTTGAGCGATTGATGGGAGGACGTGGTCGTTGAACCTGTCGCAGCCACACGAAATCAAATTTACGGGCATGTTTTTCGAAATAACCCGATACAGGCCTAGACCTACCTCTGTCTCGTGCGATCTCGTACAAGAGTTCCCGATCGCGTAGGTACTCACCGGAATGTCGATGTTTCGCTACAAACTGCAACGGAGGAGGCAATATGGATTGCTCTAGGTAATTTTGCTCGTGAAGTTCGCCAAAGGAAACGTTTTTGCCAGGTAACGGTGTCTGATGTCTCGATCTGCGCTCGTCTCTGCATCTCACCGATTTCCCGTGTCTAGGGATCTCGGTCTCTTCGAGAATTACGGCGTCGCCTTCCTCGACGATTTCCGGTACGAATTCAACGTTGGTTTTGCCGTCTGTACGTGACTCTGGGCTTCTCTCGATCAGAGGTTCGGTTTCTTTCCCGGAACGACTTCTCCTACGAGCCGATTCCTCGGTCCCGTGTTTCACGGCCGAGGCTGGCCCGAACGACGCGTTATCATTGGCTCCCTTGTCGGCGGCGGCTCGGCCGTCCGCCTGCGGCACCAGAGGCACCCGTTCACCGTCGATGGCGATACCCGGAACTTTTGAAAAGGACGTCTTCTTCCTGAAAAGTTGCTCGTACTCTTAAACACACTCTTAAAAATATTCTTTCCCATGGTAACGCAATCTATTTCTACGCACTTTGCGGCTTGTTGCTCGACGATGGTCGCGTTCGCGTAATCGGCTTCCGGCTGAGAAGTGGTCGTCGAGTTGAGGCTGCACATTGATATCGAGATATCGGTCGTCTCCGTATTGACGGACAAACCTGCGATGAAACGGTGAAAATATTAACATCGATAGGCGCGTACGTGTAAATAGAAGCGCAATCGTTACCCTCTTTCTTTATTGTTGCCTCTTGCCGCGGAACCGTCAGTCTGTCCATCGCTTCTTGGGTGTCCAAGGCAGCTTGATCGTCGAGTCGTCTTACGAACATCTGCGATGGGAAAAATCGTTTGCATCCGATCCGATACAATTGTTTTTAATCATTCGTTGGCTCCTACGATCGATTATAAAAGCATTCGCTTACCTGAAGTTCCGAATCTTTCTCCAGCAGCTGCTTACGAAATTTCTGATTCGCCAGCGTAGCCTCTTTCAGACGTTCTTCCAGTTCGCTCATGCTCGAGTCTCTCCGCGTCTTCGACATGGGCCTCAGAGTAGCTCTGATTCGTTTGTCTATCGCGCCTTGAGGATTTCTTCGGAGTTCTATCAGCTGCCATCGAAAACAAGCTCTCTTAAGCTTCCGCATCGCGAAAACGGCAACATTCAAACAATTTGCGTGTTAAAGTACCTTCGGTACGAAAACCAGGCACAGAGTACCCGTGCTGCAGAATATTATAAACACCGCCAACATTATGAACATGGCGTCTTGCTTGTCAGCCAGCACGAAGCTTATAGCTGCCCCGGTGACGCACATGATCACGACGTTGTACACGCTCATTCCGACGTACTTGCTGTCGTTCAGTGCCGGTATACTGACGTGTCTCGTTTCCCATGCCAAAAAAGCGCCAAATATCTGCGACAGAAACAAATATTTCTCGATGAGGCGCATCTCTCGCGACGGATTCGTCGTCCCCTTTCAATTACGCACCATCAACAGTCCTTTGTACGCATATATACAGCCTAAATAGACAGTCATCCGATTACTCTGACAGTACTCGTTTTCCGGTATTATGATGATATCCTCGCTGGAAGGATGTGGCTGAAAGAACAAGACCGATACGCGTTACGGTGGCTCTCCGATGTCTACTATACATACATCATATACTTTTCACAGAGATTGTTACGTACATAGGGTTCCATTTGTTTGGTCTCCCTGTAGAATGGGTCCGCAACCTGCCACGTTGTCATAATCCCCAAATCGATAACTAACAATACACCGACCACCATAAATAACTGGTAATCCTTTATGACCTAAACGGCGAGAGACGTATGTATACATATTACCAGCGTAATTTCGTTAGTTTGGCCGTGCACGAGCTCGAGATCGACTTCCGTGTACCGTATCGTGCTCGAGAACGTGCAAACCATCTACCGCGTATCGTACCATCTACGATTAGAGATGTTGAATTCGTCGAGTATTTTTATATATCATCGAAATCAATTTGGATTAACGTGTAAGCGATCGCTGCAAGACGCTGCAAGACGCTGCAAGACGTTGCAAGCGTCGACGAGCGGAAAAGAATCCAAGAATCAAGCATCCCTCTCTACGATACGATACGTATCATAGTCGAGGAAAAGGTTGGCCGCGGCTCACCTTTTTATTCAGCTTAACGTCGGTGAAGATGGAATGTACCCGCCATGTTTTCGAGAACATGGAACCAAAGGCCAACGAGAAACCAGCCATCAGTAACCATGCTCTCGCGGTGCAAATATACGGAAATGCAGTTACACTGGACAGCTGTGAATCTAACCCAAGGAAAATTACACTGCTGTAGGTCAGCATGCATCCGACGATAATGAGGTTGTTTAAATGCGGCGATGACATTTTTATGTATCTGAAACGTTTAAGATGATCGATCGTGAGAACAAAGAATTAGAATATACCGGGGGGCACGAGTACAAAGGATACGCGCGATCAACGAGTTTCCTCTTATCGTCGCGTCGAGTACGATATTTTCAAGCGGCTGAAAGTTATCGATTCTATAAAATCGAGATCGGAAAACGCATTCGATTCTCGAATAATCACCTTTGATTTCTGTATTTAATATTGATGGCGAGAAAAATGGCCGCCATGACTATACCCACGCTAGCCGCCGATGCTAGCACCGCGTAAATCGTAATATTTACGGTGGTGTGCTCGGTGATATGAAGGGTTCGATCTTTCGGCGGTGACCGTCCTCTCCAAACCAAAGGCTCACCCCTGGTCAGGTCCAACATCTCGGTTACGCCATCGAATTCCCCAACCTTGACTTCGCTACCGCCTGCAATAACAAAACGCGTACAAATACAAATAGAAATAGTCGCGTGTTTACCTAGGTGTCGATGTCGTTTCCCGTACTCACTTTGAAACTGTTTTAACAGAATGTATGCCTTTCGTTCGTTATCGTAGAAACGTACAGGCCCCTGAAATATCAAGCGCACACGTTTCAGATTGGCATGCTCGTGTTTGATCGTGATTCGTTTCAAGATTGTTTGCTAAAGCACGATTCCAAGTTGGTTTCGAGCACCGATTTCGAAGCGTGTCGTCGTCGTCGTCGTCGTTTCTTGGAAACTTTTCGACGATAGCTACTCTCGTATGTACTACAAGTTATTGTTGGTAGAAATTTGCGATACGAAATTGTCTGTAGAATTGTGCCGATACGTTGCGCGAGCCGCGAAATTAACAACCAACGAAAGAACGCCAACGAACCATACAGACACGCGATTCCGTTCGTTTCGAATTGTTTGTTTTTATCGGCCGATAAATATCCCGTTGAATCGCGAATTCGCGTTTATCTTGGCGCATGCTCGACTCCGAATCCGTCCCTCGGTCTCGGTTAGTCGAAACAGCAAAACGAACGCGCTAAATACGCGACAATAAACGCGAGTTTACATTTACATACGGAGTAGGAGATACCGCTTTAACCGTCGCTCGAGCGTAAACTTTCATTTATTTTAACGCGTTCCTCGAATATGAAAGTTGGGATTGTTGGAAAAGGTTGATTTATTGCGATTCGCCGGCCGGCGTCAATCGCTCGGCTCGCAGACCATTATCGATTCATTTGTCGTTGGTTCGTCTCTATGTTTTGTATTCCAGTTTGTAAGCAACCGAGTAACGAAAAGGACTCGGATTACTCGAAACCGAAACTAAGTACTCGTTTCGTCCTTGGTCGATCCAATTAAACCGTTATCTCGTTCCTCACCGTCACTCCCTCGAAACTGGTATTCCTGAGGGCCTCGAGGAAAAGCTTCTCCCAGAGCGCGTCTCTGTATCTGAAATCCGATATGGTCTGATTGCGACGATAGTGTCTTATCCTGCGCGCCACGTGCTGGATCGCCAGAGCAACCGCCCATATACCGTCGTACGTGTATCCGTGGAATCTCGAATACTCGGTGCCCCGTCTCGAGTCGTACTCGGCCTGATATTGCTTCGGAGTCTGTTGAACATTCGCAACGATTGCCGAACGATTCGTGTTGGAGGGTGGAGTGAGCGATAACAAATAAGAAATAAGAAATACGAATGGTCGCGGTTACTTACGATCCCGGATACCGTGTAACGTTGTTCCGTCGTCAACGGGAGCAGATCAGTCAAAATGGCACCGTGAAGTGCTTCGGAAAGTTCCGTGGGAGCGCAACCGCCTCCAGGTCGAAGCCACCACTCCTCCGCGTACGTTCCCATGATTACCCATTGATATTTTCGCCCAAACATACCAAATCTGTAACACGCGAGTGCCTTCAGTTGAAAGTTTTCAACGTCGCGTGGAAAACTTTAACCGATCTACGCACTTGTACGCCTCGCAGAATATTCGTCTAGCCCAGATTTCGTTGAAATTTCCTAAAATTATTCGAACATCCTTTTCCTTCAGTTTCTCGAGGGCTGTCGTTACCTCCGTGGCAAAGCTCTGCGTTTCCACCACCTCCATTTTGCTGGCGTCTAAATCGGCGACCAATCTATTGTGAGCCTGGAAAGATGAGATGACACGGATCGTGGCTCCAAACGCTTGAAACATTCAACTATCCAACGAAACAATCACCGTAAGCGTTCAACTTTTCTTACTTGCCTACATGTATCCGTACTATGATTTCATAATTCGTATACGATATAATAGAAATGTTAAAAGTTAAGTGCTGAACGCTCACCATATTCTCAGGCGTGCTCGTATAATCCGACGTGATTGGTGGAAACTTGAAATACTTACTAGGGCGTATCTTGGCTCGTTTTGGTAAATCGTACCAACTCTGGTCCAATTGAAGTGTATCAAAAGCGCTACGCGGGGAGCGTTGAACGCGTTCTCGGATGGCACCACTCGAAAAAAGTTCGGAAAGCTATTGCTCGTAAACATTGGATGCGTGTCCGCGTAACTAAGCTGTAACAAACACAAACAAACACTCAAATACGTTGTTTACGCGTATTTACCTAATCTTACGATCGTTAATCGTAATGCGATCGAGTAAAAAGTTGCGCGACAAATGTTTCGTTTACCTGCGTGAGACGCCAATGCTTGGACGCCTTGGCGATAGGATCCGTGACGTGCGTGCAAGCTGCTCCGAACAGCATCACTTTGTGCGGTCCGCTGTGCATCATGTCGAAAAACGCCTTTACGCCGACGGCTGCATTGCACTGAAAGAAAATCGTGACATTTTTATACACGCTTTCTTTTCGGTATTGGAACGAATCGGGTACACCGGAAACGAGTAGTATGCTGTATTTTAAGCTAACCATTTTAAAACGTTTTCGCGGAAAGAGGGAAAACACCGCGTATAACTCGTTCATCGAGTGCATTCCAAGTTATTCAATTTTTGAATGCGCTTTCAACCTACTTTACCGACTCGCTTCCTCTATGGAGTCCCATTTTCTCCAGCTCGCTCTGCTCACTATTTTTATTTCCGCGGCAGCGCATAGCAGTCGCATTTACATAGTACGAACGTGTCCGGCACGTATATTTTACGATGACGGCCAGAAAACGTCGGGAGCAGCCCGGTAACAAATCCCATCTGTCAAAGCGAAGCTTCTCCATCGAGGATACTCCAAGACGAGCGGTTGGTCGAGTGCATATAAACTTGTAGACTCTGTACCCGTTAGGAATGAGAATAAAGAGCGAGAATCGAGCGCTCATCGAGCCGGTAAGCATTCTTTTTTCGGAAATAATTAGAAAAGGTATCGAATCGATCGTTTCACTTGGAGCCTCGACACCTCGATCCAATTCCGCCTCCTGTACGATATCCTCTCGTGTACGGGAATCGGGACTACGACGCCGACACGAAGCGGACCGCCAGCGTCGCGTTCAAGTTTAAACGCCACGAGACGATGCACAGACCAAGATTAATGCGCCAAAACCGTCAGGGTCAGAATGTACGACAAGGGATATTTTATTTTTGTTGACCGCAGGAAATGTCGTGACATTACCTTAAATAGTCTCGGGCTATAATTACGAACGCGCAACTTTTCAGCAAGGCTCGAGTCTCTTACATATGTATAACGTGTCGTATTTTCGGCAGAAGCGCAAGAAAATCTTTACGAACTTGTACGTGTACAATGAAGAACCGCACGCGTTGGTTTACGTTTGCTCGGCTGGCCTTTACAATCAAAAACCTACTAAATAAATCCCGCGTATTTTTCGTTCGATCGGAATGCTCGCAATTGCCATGATTCGCGTGCTCTCTCGAGCACGTTCACAAAATTAGCCGATACGTAACGTAGAGATACGGAAGCGAGAGATTGTACGCAACGTGTAGGCGACAGATGCGCTATAGTATATTGCATTTGGATACCACAAACGGCATACCGAGAGAGCGTCGACGTCGGCGTCGGTGTGCGCAGCGAATTAGCGATTCCTCGCGGATCGACGTACACGTTGGCCCAGTGAACTCGTTTCAAAGCATTTAAGCCCAAGTCGCTGGTATTAATTGCACGTCTACGTCACATGCGGTTGCCTCGCAACCGATACCGAATCTTCGTATCGATGCCAATTTCCAGTTTGAAATTCCATTATCTTCGTCCTAGCCAGCGTATTTAATTCATAGCTTTTCGTCGTCGCCAGATCTCTCCAGGTCCGTTCGTACATGCTCCGCGTCTACTTTGACTTTGACGTTGCCGCGGCGGCGTTAGTCGACGGAGAGCTCTGTTATCGAGCGCGAGCACGTTCTCGCACGTCCTCGGCAAACTTGTTTTCATCGTCGCGTTGCGTCGACTTTCGATAGTAAATCAAATCTTTCGAGCACACGCGTTTCAAGCGTTTGAAAGTTGGATGGATTCTCGGTATCGCTGTGTACTCGATCGCGAGTCGCGAATCTCGAGCAGTGGGGAACGCAACGCCTCGACTGCTCGAGGTGTTGGCTTCGGGCCATCTACTATCATCCCTATCCACTATCCACCGTCGGAAAAGGAGAAACGGTAACAAACATCGAAACCGTGTTTTCCCGTTCCTAGTTACGCCTCTGAAATAACGTTGATACTTTGAAAGGAGGTTTCAGCTTGTTCGTTACTTGTGACGACAGGCGTTTCCTTGTATAGGTGTCTTTTGTAATTGGGACGTTCTTGTTGTAAACACCGATAAAAAGTATATTTACGCAAGGTTAAGGCTTCACGCGCGGGCTGAGAAATTTCTACTCGTAAAAATACGATCGTCCGATTTTATGATAGCTGTTATGTAGGTGTAGTACTAGGATTCGTAGCGTTACGGTAACGCTAAACCTGCACTCGTTTAGTCAACCACCCGTTATCTCGAGCCTCGCACGCCACTGGACAAGAGGATTAAAGACCAACTCCGTTCTATAATTTTCTTCTATCGCGACCGCAGCTATTAATTTTGCTCCAGTCTAGAGCCACTTTCCACGATCCTAAATAAAACGAAAGAAATTTCCTTTTCCGAGTTCTGTTCGCAGCTCTTCTTTTCGACTTGGACTTTTCTTATTCTTAGCGAATTAGTCGCGAAACGATGATACGCGTCAGTCAGGTTTTTCGTTCATTTACAAAGTTTACTCTCTGCCAATCGTTGCGTCGTTATTTACCTACTTCTAGTTTGAATTACGCTCGATCAAACACTGGACGATCGCCTCTCCATTACTGCCATTTCAAATTCATTTTGACCCTCGCCTCGGTCCAATTTACGCTGCGCTACCATGTCGCGAGCCACGGACCTACAATTATTTTACCACAATGGAAAATATTTCGAGGACCAGTTTTTATCGGCTACAACCACCGAGTTATCGGATTATGGACGATCGAACGTAACGCGATTCCAACGAGCTCGGCGCGGCGATCGGACGTTGCATTGCGATTGTTTAAAAGTTGTAAAAAGAAAGCAAAATGGTATTGTATTTTTTCAGCGTTAAATTTCGAGAAATTCAAAGTTTCGGGCTGAAGATATCGCGAGTTTCGCTTTGCTGTACCGATCCGGCAAGCTCTAGTATTTCCAGACTACGATCCTGGTATCGTAATTGGCTGCGTCGAGAATTGTAGGAATGCGAAAGGAATCGAGATTCGTCGCGTGCTTCCAGCATCGTAATATATAACGGCCGTTGCTAGAAAAAAAGAATAAATAGAGGAAAAATGGAAGGTAAACGAGTCGATTTCATTGAAACGAAAGGTATGCGCGTGCATAGTAGGTAGAATTTTTGATTAATTTGCTAACGGGTTACCGAATCACGACAGATTGCTCGAGCAAACGTACTATTCTTCCAAGGATCGAGTAATTTACAGCGAGCTTACTCGTGCGGAATACGTATCCGTATACGTATTCGAAACCGTTTGCCGGGAACGCTTTTGCTTTCGAGAGCATTACTCGTTTACAAAGTTGTCGCGCGTCTGATTCTTCGAGTTTTGCAAACGTGACCCAGATAATTATGCACGCGCATATACGCGAACATCGAACGGATGTACCTTTGGTCATTGTTGCAGGTACACGGGGTCAGGAAAGCGGGAAATTTAGCGAGACCACTGTTGCATGCCGATATGCCACAGCAATTCGATAATCAGGACAGTTGGCATCGCTTCGTCTCGCGAAAGGTTCGCCCGCGAATAACGAGAGACCTTGATCGATGCACCGCGAGATCGTTTCTATCGGTTGGAAGTTGTGCCGGCATCGGCATCGGCATCGGCGTTGCTATAAATATCTCTCGGATTATTCCAATGGATCGACAATTGTTTCAGGATATAAATTTCATTTATATTAGATACGTAACAAACGTTTGTTTCTTCCGGTATAATCAATTTTCCGTTAGATCGAAGCGCAACGTTAACCTCGAAATATTCGTCCCACGGTTAATTACGCCATTACGATACAACAGTCAGCCGTGGGATAGTTTAGGGCCTTTGGGAAATAGGATATCTCGGATAGGAAGCAAAGTTTGCCAAGTAAACGAAAATACTAACAGCGTTGGCGTGGGTACAGTTTCGAGCGACAATGACAAAGTTTGTGGCAAGTTTTATTGGATCGTACGCAAAGATAATTTCTCCGCGTGTTAAGGGAGCTTTCAACCCGAGAATAGCCTGGCATGCGATATTCCAAGATGCTTGGAATCCCTTATATCGTCCGGAACCACCGGTATGGGCAGCCCGGTGGAAACTCGTTCGATTCCATGCCGATCTTCCATCGGGTTCTTCCTCGCTGCCGTAAACCAGAGACTGTTGCGTACCGTACGTGCGAATCTAGTCGTATTACCTAGCCAACCATATATGTATCAATGTACTCGTATGTTATGTAGATCCGCAGATGTGCAAGTTACGCTATCTCGAAAGTCGTTAAACTTTCCGATTTCGAGAGATTCCAACTCTTTGTCTTTATCGACAAAGGTAGTTTACGCTTTACACCATCGCGGCCAAATGATGAAACCGACAGAGCGAAGGGTAAAGCGCAAAGTCTAAAGTCTAAAGTCTAAGACGCGCGAGCCGTGAGTAGTGAGTAGTGAGTAGTGAGTAGTGAGCAGTGAGAAGTGAGAAGTGAGCACGGACGGGGCACCTTCTCGACCTATATCGCGTCGCTTTGTCGTGACTCTGCTGCCTATTGTTTGCAGACGCCGCAACTTTTTGCATCGATTACCCAGAGACCAATTTATATAGAGTGTTTCGTAGCTCGAACAAGTAGTCGGTAGAGAATGGTGGGAAATTTTCGGAAGACATAAAGAACGAATGTACAAACCGTCTAATATTTTCCTGCAATCTTCTAGATAAATTCAAGCGTGGTTAGTTCCGTTTCTCAAACACAAACTTTTCATTATTCCGTGCGTAATCGTTTGTTTTTCTAGAAATGTGAGATGAAAGAATCGTTTCGAAAGTTCAAACCGTATCGCAAATTATTAACCAAGTTGCGTGGGTGTCCAACAATATTCTGGTTCTATCTATCGATAGGTCAAAGGTCGCGTCGGTCAGGTGTACGCATGCGTATCTCGTGCATGCGTTTAAATGGTGTACGAGCATAAATTGATGTAACAACCCATGCAATTTACGATGTCCCGTAAACTACTCTGGGCCGGATAAGTGTACGAATTGCTGGTGTTGATCAATTCGATGAATAGCGAGCGATACTAGAGCGGCAATAAATCGTCCAAGGATAGCGCCGCGATTCGCGACAGACACACTCCCTTACCTGCAACAGAAGAACACGATCCAATTAGCGATCG